ATATAAAGAGTGATAAAATATTTCAGAAGTTATTTAAATAGATTATTTTAGGTAGAAGTAGATTAGATGTGATTACCCGATATCTCAGCAAGGGCAAACTGTCGTAGAAGACCCGGAAGTCTAAAAGATAGATACGATTACAAGAATTAGAGGCAACAACCAATCAATTACAAGAGAATGATAGGAAACAAGCTACGATAAATTGTAAAAAAGATTAAGACAGACTAGCAAAAAACAAGAGAGGAAAAGAAACTGGATGTCATCGATAATCGTTCATCAATCGTGGATAGTAGAAAACAGGCGTGTATCAAGTTCGTCAGTGGCCTATAAAAAGCTGATCGTTTCACAGGGTGACAAGCGACAGAAGATAGAATCCAAAAATTTCAAGCGACAATCGGATACAAACGGTCGTTCGAAACTAAGAATACTAGACAAGAGTCAGCCTTCGTTAGAACTTAGAAGACAGCAAAGATTAAGAAGAATAAGTCGAGATCGAAAGAAGATAGATCATTCGCAGAATGTTGGGTCTAATTTAAGTAGGGAGGTGTTGTAAATGTTAGATTTAATTTGTATAAAGAATTCTTTTGGATTTTGTTGTACTTTATATTTAATTTGCATAAAGAATTCTTTTGGATTTATTATTTTATTATTATAACGCGTGATAAAAATATTATATTTGAATAGTTATGAATATTAGTTATAAGAAGATTGAAAAGAGTATAAAAAGGCCAATTTTTACCATACAAAAAGATCTTTTTTTATAATTATTAACTTTTTGTATTTTATTTTTTAATTTTATTTTTTATTAATCTTTTTTATTATTTTTACTTTTATAAATTTGTTAATTTGATAATGTTATAATTTTGAATAAAGAGATAAATTGATTTCGTGATTCCTAATTATTATTAATTTCTTTTTTATATATATATATTTCTTTTTATATTTAGGTTTTGATTTCCAATGTCAAATTCACATTGTGACAAAGAGTAGTTCATAAATTTAAAATATGTATAGAACAGATACGTTACAAAAATATAATACCCATAATAAATTTAAAAAATCATAAATATATTCCCGTTAGATGACGTAATAAACTAAAAATTTAGTTTTTGGGGAGCATAATTTTTTATTTTGGATTAATTTATTTGGTACAAGCTATATAACCATAAAATGGAAAAAATTTTAAGTTTCCATCATTATTTTTTGAGTTATGATTAGGGATGTAAATTTCCCGGGAAACTATATTTCGGGGAAATTTGGGGAAAAAACGGGAAATAATGGAAAAATAGGAAAATAACGGGAAACTATCTTTTTTATAATACTTTACAGGTCAATATTGATTTTTTTTATGTTTTATTGAAAATATATAGATTATAAACATTATAATTAAACAAATGTAAATTATTTTCAACTAATTTGCAATTACTTTACATGTTTTATTTGAAATATTATATATAGACTAAATAATATTTAAACAATTAATTTTGAATAGTTAATTATCTTCGTTTGAAGTTGAAAATGATTCCAGATCAGAGCTTGAAATTCTGGAATCCAGCAATTTGTTTTTTCTGAAATTTCCTTTCCCATAAAATGTAGATTGGCTCTTATATAAACTAATTTGCGAACTTTGTCATTTTATCTATTTCTAGATTTAGAATGAATATTTCCAAAGGAGGACCATATTCTTTCGGATGCTGCACTTGTTGGTGGTAGTGATAAAATTTGTATGGCTAGGGTCGATATATATTGATTGCAACATAGACCTAATAAAATATTGAATAACACAATTTTAATATTAGAAAAAGAGTTAAGTTATTGTTTACAGAAATATAAAAGTATTTAACCTTTCCACCAACTCACTGGATCTATAAATGATGCGCCTTGCCAAAGACTTGCTATATTAAAAATCTTCCCTTGCACGAAATTTGGATAGGTTTCCTATTACTCTTGCAATATCTAAATCTAGATATCCATAAAATCGGTTAATAATATCCAACCCCTTTGCAACTTCATTGTCTCTTAAATTAAATCCACAAAACCTTGGGTCAAATATATGAGCAGCATAATGAATGTCCCGACAACAAAAATTTTTTCGGCTTTTGATAAACTGCTCTATTTCTAAAATCTCGCTCTGCGACAATATATTTGATATTGTTTTATAAGCGTTAAATGTCTCCCTGATATGAATAAACGCTTGAGGGACATCAGATAAATTGGCTTTATCTCCTTCCACTATCTCTATTTGCGTAAATATGACTTTAATAAAATTATATAGTTGCATTAGATCATTTAAAAACCTAAGTCTCTTATCTCGATCAGTAAATATATCAAGAATAGCCATTTCCTGTAAAATATCTTTATTTTTTAACAAGCTATTTATCATCAAAACTATGCCTGCCCAACGAGTTGGGCTAGGCAACTTTAGGGAAACAATTTTATTATTATTTCATAGGAGTTGTTTTTCTTTTAACGTTGATAAAAGAATTTTGTTAGATTTTAAATATTTTATGATATTTTTAGCTTCCTTTACAAGTAGATTTAATCCATGAGCGGCACATCCAATGCATTCAATAGTTGGGTATTTCAGTTTTACAAGGGCCCATGCTTTTTTCATATTGCTTGCATTGTCAGTTATTATGGTGTTGATTTTCAAAATTCCTACTTCTTCAATTACTTTAATAATTTCGTTTGATATATATTCACCTGTGTGCATGTTAGATCCTGTGTGAATCGATTTATAAAAAATGGGACAGGGGGTTGCTAGAATAAAGTTGATAATGGATTCCCCTTTTATATTTGTCCATCCATCACTAATAAGTAGTGTTGTTAAAAGGCTCGTTTTGAGCCGATTTTTAAAAACGGCTAACTCAATATTTTAACCAGAAAAATATTGCTTAAGCCTCAAGATTTCGAAAATGTATGTCTAGACATTTGTTCCTTCTATGAGCAAAATCTTCAGGCTTGGGTAATATTTTTCTGGATGAGGTATTGAGTTAGCCGTTTTTAAAAATCGGCTCAAAACGAGCCGTTTAACAACACTACTAATTAGAGTCAAATTTTTACTTTTGCTTAATTTTTCATTGACTATATGTTCAATCCTCTTAAACTCACTGTCTAAGATGACTGTAAATACATTAATTAATACTAAAAATTTTCAACTAAATTTAAAAACTGTGAAATAAATTACTATAAATATTCTCTATTAACATAACTTAAAATTTCATATATTATTTATAAATTTCATTGGTATTTATTTATAATATAAATATACTTTTCAGACTAGCTATTTAATTTTAACAAGTATCTTAAAATTTTGCAAATGTAAATAGGGAAATTGACATAATTCAAAAACAAAACACAATTATAATTTATGATATGAACCACGAGGAAAAAATGATTTTATAAAATCTAATAAAAATCGTATTTATTTTATCATAAGATCATTTTCAAAATTGGGAAACTGTTAATATTATAAAAATCATGTTGATTTAGGCAAAAAAGCCTATTATAAAAATTGGGGAAACTATAGGGGAAATTTCCCCTGTCTTACATCCCTGTTATGATGTCAATTCTCAGTTTAGTCAAAAATATTTAGATTTTTGGGATTTTAAAAATATTTAATTTTTTCTCAACTGCAATATATAAATTACTTTATCAAATGTTGGCAATATTTCAATATCCTATCATCATAATTCATTCTAGTTATTATAAAGATCTGATTTAAATTATCTCATCAACATATCACTGGAATTGTTGGATGAGAATATAAATTGAGAATCTTCAATAACTTTGGATATTTGCTTATTATTAGATAAAGGGCATATTTAAAATGTGTTTATCTATTGAAAATCTTATTTTTAATAATATTCAGAGTAAAGGAGACCGGCATAAAGTTTACTCCAGAACAAAATTATTTTATATTTGATGTGAGGATATATTTTTATATCTAGTTACTTACCTATCTTCATCTTTTGAAAAACTTTCCTTGTTTGACATTTTTTGTCAAGTAACCATTTTTAGCCCAAAAATTATAAAAATTACCCTCTAATTAATTTTGCTTTTATTAAAATGTATTGAGGCTCATAACTAAAAATTTGCATCTATGTCTAGTTATAAAATAAAATTTATCGGAAGTAGCTTAACTAGTAGTCACCTAATGACGATTTATACAATATATATAACCTTGAGGTAAAGTTATCATGAGGAAAAATGCTAAAATGTTCCACCTGTTTTAAGATGTAAAAAGAAAATTTAAATTAACGTCTACACCATATAAAAAGATGTCTTTGAGTGAAAATTATTTTTAAATGTTTTATCATATTTGGAATAAAATTTAGAGAATAGTCGTAAAGGGAAAGAATAATTGAAATGTACAATGTACCTAAAATGAGCACTCTAAAAATGTGCTATTGATATAATTTTTTACACTCCAGTATTGCATTGATTATTCTACAAAGTGATGAATAAATGCCAAAATTGCAATATTTTGTTCAATTAACCAATATAGTTATGTTCAATTTTATCTTAACTATTTAATAACCCTGATTCTTAGCTATTTTACCCTGGGTATGGGATAAAATGGCAAAATGGCACATTTCGCATAATTAATCACAACTCCTAAAGTTATAAGGAGAGACAAATTTTTCTATTTTGTAGATGAGGGATTTGGCTACATACAGTGGCGTAGACAAGGGGGGATTTTGGGGTTGAAACCCCCCTATCACCCATCAAAAAAAAAATTTTTCTTTTTTTTTAATTTTATTTAAAAAACTGTTTCAATTTAGAAATAAAATAAATAATATATACGATATTAAAATGAAATATATTTTTATGAACTAATAAAATATTAAATAACAATTAAATAAATATATATTTTAAAATTTAAAAAAAAATATAGAAAATCAATGTCCTCAAAAAGATATTTCATTATACTTAAAGTTTCAGTTTAAAAATGATAATGAAAAATTGTTGGCTGTGGAAAATATTTGGGCACCTGACAAATGCTATATATTTCCGTTATCTTTGGATTTAACATTTCAACATGGTGGCTTAACAAATATAAGTGGCTCGCTTATTCAGCTAATGAAAAGGGAGCTTTTTGTAAAGTGTGCGTCATTTTTTCACCAAGATATGCTGGACCCGGGTTACAAAAACTCAAAACATTGGTAAGTCAAGTATATACAAGATGGAAAGATGCTCTTGGAAATTTTAATTATCATCAACAAAATAAATATCATCTCAATTCTTGTGAGATATCTGACGCTTTAAAAGCCATCTCTATGAATCAAAAGATATCAATATCTAATGTATTGAATAAAAAAAAATTTGATATTGTTACAACCAACAGAGCCAGAATAATTATAATAATTGATGCAATCATTTGGCTAGGGAGGCAGGGCTTAGCATTAATATCTCATAGAGTATCAGCTGGCCCCTTAACACTTTCATCTTCTCATAATGAAGGGAAATTTAAGGAATTGCTGAAACTTTTATGCAACAATAATGATAATTATATAAAGCTTTTTGAAAGCTCGGCTAAAAATGCCACCTACCTTAGTCCATGCATTCAAAAAATTATATCCATATGCAATAAGTTTATATTGAAAGAAATTTCTACAAAAGTGTCACCATTTTCTAGTGTTCTGGCGGATGAGACATCGGATGTTGGTAACATAGAGCAATTATCCATAGCAATAAGTTTATTGATATGGAATCAGGTCATTATAAAATGAAGGAACTCTTTGTTCAATTTATTGATTTACATGACACTAAATCAGAGACGATAGCCAAAGAAATTTTAGCATCCCTTCAAGATCTAGATTTAAATTTAAATCTAACGAGAGGCCAGGAATATGATGGAGCTCCCTCAATGAGTGGACATGTTAAGGGAGTGCAGTCAAGAATTATAGAGCTTTATAGCACCGCTTTATATGTTCACTGCAGCTCACATTGCCTAAATTTGATGATATCCGAGGCATGTGAAATTCGAGACATCCGGAACAGTTTACGTAAATTTTTTTTAATTTAATTGGAATTTATTAGATTTTATTATGTATTATAGATATCTTTTTATAATTTAATATATTTTTCAAAATTTAGAAACAATATCGTCGGTTTGTGACTTTTTCACAACACCCAAAAAGAGACAGTTATTTATCCGAACATTTGATGATATTGATTCAAATAATCCAAAAAAAAAACTAAAACGATTTTGCCCAATTAGGTTTATCGAAAGACAACAATCAGTGAGACTCTTTATAGAATTATATGAAGTTATTTTTGCAGCACTCGAATCCTATGTATCCAGCAAAGAAAAGGATTCCTCAGATGCTGAAAATTTTTTACAGGCGATTACGAAGCCACAATTTTTAATATCAATTCAATGTGTATATTTTTTATTTAATTATACTTATGATTTTAGCAAAATACTTCAAAAAATTAATTTGGATTTAAGAGAGGTTATGAATAGGGCAAAGGATATTGTTGAAATATTAACAAATATCAGAGAAAATGTGGATGAAAAATTTCATGATATTTACAAGAAAGTAAAGTAGATCGCTAATTTGTTTGGGATTGAAATTTTTAAACCTAGAGTAGTTTCTAGACAGTCAAATCGCTTAAATATTGATGCCTCTTCGATTGAGGATTTTTATAAAATAAATATTTTTATTCCCCTTATTAACACATTTTTATTTCAATTAAAAGAAAGATTTATTAGTCATAATTTTATTTTAAAAAGTTTTTATTTTCTTCTGCCGGTTGAGTCTGAATTGTTGATTACACATGAAACGCGAGAGGATATTAAGAAAATCTCAGAGTTTTATTCTGATGATTTATCAGGATCGTATGATAAGTTACTTTGTGATGTCGAATTTTGGTATAAAAATCTCGACAGAATAGAGTACTCTTTGAGACCTAAAAATGCTTTGCAGGCTCTTTCCATGTGTAATTGCATTTTAGATTCCCTGCCAAATTTCAAAACATTACTTTTTATTTTAGCTACTTTACCGATTAGTACCTGCACCAATGAAAGGTCTTTTTCAACTTTGAAAAGGTTAAAAACCTATTTAAGTAATAGCACCGGTGAAAACCGTTTAAATGGATTAGCCCTTTTAAATATTTATAAGGAGATTATTCTAGATAAAAATTTGATTCTAGATGAATTAGCCAAATCTCAGAGAAAAGTAGACCTCTCTTTATAAATTCAAATCTATGATTATCATATTTTCTTAGTCATAAAATTTTTATATGCAAAACTTAATTATAGTGAATTCTTAGTCATAATATTTATGTATTTTTAATAAAAGTATTGCTTTTGCAATAAGAAATATTTATAGATTATTTTGTTTATTAAATTATATTTTTTAAAATACTGTACAAGAATTACTTATATTTTATTGAATATATTTTTTAAATATAGTTATTTACAATAAATTTTTAATATAATAATCTACATAAAAATTTCTATATTTTGAAATTTATTTTATTGTATATTATCATTAAAATAAACGCATAGTTAAATAAAGAGATTTTATTTATACTAAAGTATTTTAATAATAAATAAAATCTATATCTAAAATTTAAAAAAGAATTATTTTTAAAACTCAATCAGGTATATTGAGTGATCTTAAAAAATGTAAGGTTCGGGGAGCAAATTTTTTTCTTTCTAAACTATATGGATTAATTTACAATTGACTAAACATAGATTAAATTTTTAGAATAATGTTTTCAGTGTTCAGTCGCTTATTAATCATTAATTTAGCCAAAATTGTTACTAATATTTTTTTTATTCATGCTTGTTACTATAGTGATTAGACACTAATAAAGCACATAATATTGCTAATATTTAAAAGTAGAGTTTGAAGGCTTGGCCCTCCAAAAAAATTTTAACCCCCCCCCCCCCCCCATGGATAAATCCTGGCTACGCCACTGGCTACATATAATCTATAATTGCTCTGTTTTTTTATATTTAAAATTTTATGGCAAAAATGTAAAATACCAATTATTTTACCCCGGTCTCCACAACTTTGCAAAAATTTTAAATAAAGGATTTATTATATCAATTATAGTAATTTTCTATAATTACAATAAAGATTATACTTTTTGGAAGTAAGATGTTATTGATTTATTTATAACTGGTGTAATAAATTAGTAAAATATTATTTATAGATATTATATGTAAAAATAGAATAGAATAATCGAAAATTAATAAATAAAAATTTGATGTTTGAAATAAATTGAATTATAAATTAGTAGTCGTATTGTTTATAAATTAGTAGTCGGTATTACTACAAATGGCATATTAGTTGGTATTACTACAAATGGCGACGATAAATGGAGAAAATAATTCCTAAATGGAGATAATAATTCTTTAAATGGAGAAAATAATTCCATAAATGGAGATTCAAAAAAAATAGCGGATTTAGCAACGATTAAATTTGATAAATTCGAGTTGGACACTTCAATCCATAGATATTTTTCTCAATGGGAAGCCAGTTTTCGATTAAAAAACGTAAGCCCATCTGAATGTCAATATAAAGATATATTTTTAACATTTTTTGGCAATAAGAATATTGAGTTGGTGGACCGTTTTTGTTATCCTGATTCGATCGAAACTTTATCTTTTAAGGAAATTAAGCTAATATTTTTTAAACTATTTAAACTGACGTCAACAGCTTTTGCTTCTAGATTTGATTTCGTTAGATTACAGAGAACAACTGATACCATAACTGAATTTGCAGATAAAATTTGAACAATTGGCAAGCGTGGTCATTATCTTAATGATATTGACGAGCGTTTACGTGATCAGTTTATGGTTGGCATGGAAATACCGGGATTGGAAAGAGATCTTAGAGCTCTATATCCCGACGGTCTTGATAGAGATAATAATGTACTGACTTTTCAATTTATTCTTGATCTGGCATTAGCTTCTGAGCGAGCAGATAAAGAAATACAAATAAAAATATGCCTGTTGTTAATAAGATAAATGATAATAACAAAAGAAATGATAATTATAATAATTATATACAATCAATTAAAACGACGACTACATTTGATAAAGGCTATAATAAAGTCAAGTATAATAATAAATTTGATAAAGAGAATAATAAATACAAATATAATAATGATAAAGATTATAATAAACTTAAATGTTATAAATGTGGTTTTATTTATAACCGAGAAGTGAGATGTCCAGCTACAAATGTGGCATGTAAAAATGTAAAAAAATTGGTCATTTTGCAGTTTGCTGTAAATCAAAGAATTTAAATTATATAAGAGTATCATCAAGTGATTCTATTCATAATATTTGGAAGATTCAACAAAATCGAGAGAATCGAGCAAAACTAACTGCAGAGATAAATGGGTTAGATGTTGAATTTGATTTTGACACTGGTGCACAAGCGTCATTGATAGGAATTGATATATGGACAAGTATTGGGAGACCAAAAATTAGGCCAACCAGTCCATTGACTGCAATCATCCGTTAGACGTTAAGGGCGAGACCCAAGTCAATGTTAGGATTGGATCACAGACAAGGACTCTATCAGTGGTAATAATGAATACAACTGGGATGCCTCTTTTCGGATAACCATGGATTATAGCATTCAATTTAGAAATGCCTCGTCAGGTTATGATTAAACAAGTAGGCAATTTGGTCAACAATATTGAAAAAGAAAAATGTTGCATAACACTAGATTCTAGAATTCAAGATTTGATTAATAAACACCAAGAAATTTCGGAAGAGAATCAAGATTCTAAACATGCTTTGGATATTCGAAGTATTAATTTGGATGATATGCAATTGTCAGATAATATTCTACGAAAAGAGTCGATGCAATATTTAATATTAAAAAAAGTAGCAATACATATTCAGCAAAGTTGGCGAAACTTTGATCGTCATAAAGATAAAGAAATAGTTAATTTTTATAATCGACGGGAAGAGCTTTCTGTCGATCGTGATATTATAGAATGGAATGGGAGATTGGTTATTCCTAATAAATTAAGAAATGCAGTGTTAGGAATGATTCATCGGGGACATCCTGGGGAAAATGTAATGAAATCTAATTTAGATTGTATTGCTGGTGGCCCAGATGTGATGTTGATATAGAAAATTTTATCAAAATATGTTCTGGATTCCAGAAAAATAGACCATGGTTAGAAGTTGATCTAATGCAGAATACCTCTGCTGATGCTATGATAAAACGACTAAATAAATGGTTTGCTAGGCTTGGAATACCCAAGTACATTGTGTCAGTCAAAGGACCACAATTCTTATCTGGGCAATTCCGTAGGTATTGTGATTTAAATAACATACGTCATATACGTTCGGCACCCTATCATCCAAAAACTAATGGATTAGCTGAACGTACAGTACGAACTTTGAAAGGTCAGTATTATGCGACGAGAGGACACAGGTTTTAACAACCTACCGATTGGGAGAGCATAGCTCCACAGGGAGATCTCCTGCTAAAATTATGTTTGGGAGTAGGCCTAAAACGAATTATTTGATATTCGATTCGATTCGAAATTTCGAATCGAATATGAATAATGAGGAAAATTATTCGTATTATTCGAAATTATTTATATATAAATATTCATAATTATTCGCAAATATTTTATTTCAAGTAAAATAAAAAGAAGTAATTAAATTTTTCTAGTGGATATCATTTCGTTTTATTTTATTTCCTATTATCAAATATCAAATCATAACAAGTTATATTTGCTGAAAAAGTTTAATGGAAGAAAAGGAAAAGCTTCAAAGTAAAATATAATTATTTTATTTTGATTGTTTCTCTTTAATCATTTTTGATGTTATGAACAAGTCAAAACATTTTTATAGAGTGTGCCTCTTTCCCATATTCTCGAGCTCCTGGCAGATAAATAACTAAATTTTTTGACTAGTTCTTATTATTTGATTAGGAAAATCCTTTTCCCATTTAGTAACCTTATTTTTGGCAAATTTTAAAGACAATCTAATTCAGATAGTGCATTATAATATCTTCATCCTCTATTATATTGTCATAATCACCTCTAAAAATTATATTAATAATTAAATAAAGGAAATTTATGCTACTAAAGTATTTTTAATAAATAAAATCTATAATGAAATACTTTCTAAAATTTTGTTATATTTTATATGCAAAAATGACAATTAGTTTAGAGAATCCTTAAAAATGTCATCTTTAAACATCTGTAAAATTTTTTTTGCAAAATATTTTATAAGCTTTAGAAAAATTTTCGAATCGAATCGAATATTCGACGAATCGAAACGAATAATGATTTTATTATTCGTACGAATACGAATAGCGCAATTATTCGATTCGTTTTTTTGTAGGCCTATTTGGGAGGCAATTAAAAACAAGTCTGGATTGGATCCGACCAAATGCCGAACACGAAATAGTAAGGGCCAATGATAGACAAAGCCTTCATCATGATTTTCATTCAAAGGAAAGAGAATTTGAAATCTCACAACCTATATGGTTAAATAATGAAATACCAATGGTTGGAGAGAGGGAGTAATTAAAGAAAGAATAGGACTTTATTCTTATATTGTTGAATCTTCCGGGAAAACATTACGGAAGCATGCAGATCAGTTAAGAAATCGTTTAGTTATCCCAAATCATGAAAATTCTTTGGAAGTTACATAAATGGTTGTGCCAGTGAATGAAGCTAATACAAACACAAATACAAATACCACATTACGTTGTTCATCAAGAAACCGTATACATACAAAGAGGTTTACTGAAGAAATCTAACTTTAAAATGTTTGAAGGAAATGTATAGATATTATATATAAAAATAGAATAGAATATTCGAAAATTAATAAATAAAAATTTGATGTTTGAAATAAATTGAAATATAAATTAGTAGTCGTATTGTTTATAAATAGTAGTTAATATTACTACAACTGGGTCTAAACTTCATTTGGGATATTGTATTGAATATCTTTATTTAATACCAAATTATCATTATCTTTTTTGATGGCTCTCTTCCTTATTTTGGTTTTCAATTAATATGCTTACATACTTTAAATAAGGTCCTGTTATTTGGCATCTAGATTGAAATAAATATTAATATATACTTATTACATAATATTATGTTTCTTATCATTTTTCATGCCTAATATTTTGAGAGATAAGTTTTTATGCGTGACTTGCATTTATAAGTTTTATATATGTATTATTTATAAAATATAACAGTGTAAAATATTATTCTCCTAAAAAATGCCTCTATACTAGTAAAATGTGTAAATAGTGATAGAAACAATTGTATATTTATTTAAATATTAAAATTTATTCTTCTAAAAAAATATAGAAATTTATTATTAAAATTAATAATATATGTTAATCTCTATACTTTTAGGAAATTACCAAATAAAAACAATATAATACTTTACTTGTGAAATTGTAAAATATTAATTTAATGGTAAAAATAATTATTTCTAGTTTATTATTATTTATTAAATAACAGATCTGTTTAATTTAGATTTATCAATAAGATCAACGATAATCATGATCGTATCAATTGATTTAAAAAGGTTATAAATCAAGTCAAAAACTACCACCCCCCCCCATCCTTCAATATCTACCATAAAAATTAATACTTACCCCCCCCCCCCCCATTTGTCTCTATCCCCCCTCCCGGTTACGTAGACACTGCCACCAGTAGCATAAGAAAATCAGGACGCTTTTTATGTTTTTTTTAATTGAGTTCATATCCAAATTATTATTTGAAAATCATTTTATATAAGTTATAATTTTATTTTATTTTCTTATAATAATTTAAATTTTCATTCTAATTACATTTTTATTTTCTCAAAAAAAAGATGAATTACATTTTTTCTATGCTCCCTTTTTTAACAAAAACAATCTCTATATATATCTTTTTTTAAACAATAGAAATTGATATATCAAAAAACAATGTTAAGTGAATAAACAAATGTCACATTAAAATGATATATATAAAAAAAGTTAATAGAAAATTTTGACCGAAAGGTATAATCTCTATTATTTAACAATGATGTTAATATAAAATTTTAACCGAAAGGTATAATCACTATTATTTAACATTCCACCCTCCAAAGAAATTCGTCTTATGATTTCCTTGAAAAAGTTGAGTGGTGACGTCATTAACGTTCATTATGGCCAGGCAATACGCCACCCATGTTCATGGTGCAGTCTTCTTTTCAAACTGAACGAAGGCTTGGTAAAGTAAAGACATCTCCTAGATAATTTCCAAACCGCGTCGCTTGTGCATGGCATCGGACATCTAAATTCCTTTCGAGCAAGGTTTATTTTGTCGTTCTTCAGCCAGCAATCCAATTTCTGGGTCGTTGCATTGATCTTGGCGCACGGAATTCTCCTTGAAGGTATGATCTTAGGCGCAGCATCGGGCTTCAAGTGAACTTTCTCTTGTCTAACCATTTTGGGTTTGTAGGAGTAAGTTGATTCGAGGTCTTTTTTTGTTGTCGAGATTATCTTCTCGAGATCATTCTCTACATTACCCACTAAGAACGTTTTTAAAATGTTGTTGAAGGTGTGGAGCCACATACGTCCTAGCAGGGGGATCTTATCACAATCCACTACAATGGCCTCCAGTGTACGTGAGTTTCCTTCATACTTAACGTTCACATTGGCAAGACCTAATATTTTGATAGCGCTGCCGTCATAACCAGTGAGTTTCATATCCGTCTTACGTATCGCGGTTAGGCCTACAGTCTTAGCTGTCAGCTTCGGAAGTATACTGTATTTAGTACCGGTATAGCGTGTGAAAGTGATTGCCATGAGATTTCGAATTCTCACACCATCAAAATCTCACGGCTCATACCGCGTGAAAATGATTTCATGAGATTTTGATTTTTATCGCTTCAAATACATATTTAAATATTCAGAATCTCTTTTCTAATAATTATTTATATTCTGAAAATAGAGAAAACTATTATATGCATACATAGATATTTATTAATTATTAGGTTTTTAGCTAAAAATTCACATCACTCTTTATCAATATTATGATTATGCTGTCAAAATTTTCATTTTTTAATGCTTTTTATACTAAATTTACACCATTTTATATAATATTGATATGCAAAAAGTAATTATCATAATTTTATATATTACTATTGAAATACAAATTGCAATCATTATTTTATATACCACCTATTGATGTACAAATTGTAATCATCATTTTATATACAATTAATATTCAATTGCAATATATACAAATTTTTATACACCACCATCAATATACAGTCTTAATAAATATAATTTTATAATTGATATGCAAATTGCAATCTTTATTTTATATACTTTCATCTATATATAGTCTCAATAAACATAAATTTATATACTATTGATATATAAATTGCAATCATTATTTTATATACCATTATTATACAATTGCAATCATTATTTTATATTTATCAATCACAATAAATTTATATATACTATTGATATAATTGCAAAAGTATTAATAAAATTGTTAGACTTATATTTCATTATTCTTACAACATGCATGCTTATTCATTATATCATATTATTTATAAGTAATGTTGTTAAACGGCTCGATTTGAGCCGATTTTTAAAAACGGCTAACTCAATATTTTATCCGAAAAAATATTAGGCAAGCCAGCATACCTTGCTCAGAGGTGGCATAAAGGTTTGGCATCTATTAGCTAAATCTCGAGGCTTAGTCAATATTTTGCTAGCGAAAATTTGAGTTAGCCGTTTTTAAAAACTCGACTCAAATCGAGCCTTTTAACAATATTTTTAAGTAATATCTAGGTAATCAGATATTTATATGAATAAATACGTATGATAAATAGATTTCCTAGAAAGATAAGTGCTAGAAACGTCTAAATAAATCTCATATTTATAGGAATAGCAATTATAAATCCCTATGATAAAAATTTTATTAATGGAGTTCCTAGTAGGAAAAGAGATTAACATATTCCCATTAATCATTAGAAATCTAAAAAAAATTAAAATATGAGTAAATCTGATATTTATAGGAATAAAAAGTATAAATCCCTATGATAAAAATTTTATTAATGAAGTTCCTAGTAGGAAAAGAGATTAACATATTCCCATTAATCATTAGAATCTAAAAAATTAAAATATGAGTAAATCTCATATTTATAGTAATAACAAGTATAAATCCCTACGATAAAAATTTTATTCATGGAGTTCCTAGTAATATTGTATTATATATAATATTGAATTATAAATAAATGTCTCCTCCTTGCCTTGAGTTGCAGCATAAAATAATGATAGTTTAGCTTCTCGGTCTTCGATGGATGTTGCAACTTGAATTTGCTAAGCAGGGCGATTGTGTCTTTTAAGTTCCCAATATTATTGAATTCATCACCAGGAAGATTTCGGAGAAATAAAGCGGCCTTTTCTCCATTGGAGATCTTGCTGGTGTTGAAGAAATTCTGCAATTTCCCTATGTAGCACTGTTATCGCTACTAAATTTGGGGAAATTCAGCTTGACAAATTCAGTCATATATGTGGAATTGTTCAAAGCATCCATCGTAAGAGAATTATAATAGATAAAGGCGTGAAATAGAATATATGTATATCGATAAATCAAGATCATATTTTGCGATAATACTTACGCAGAGTTCAGACGTTAATTGGCCTCCATGTTGAAATTGAGTTCATATCCACATTATTATTTGAAAATCATTTTATATAGGCTATAATTTTATTTTATTTTCTTATAATAATTTAAATTTTCATTATAATAAATTACATTTTTATTTTCTCAAATTTAATAAAACAATCTCTATATATATCTTTTTTTAAACAATTCAAATTGATATATCAAAAAAACAATGTTAAGTGAATAAACAAATGTCACATTAAAATGATATATATAAAAAAAAAGTTAATAGAAAATTTTGACCGAAAGGTATAATCACTATTATTTAATATTAATCATGATTTATTTTATACTTTTATTCCTTAATCACATATTCGTTATTAATAAACTATATTAGGTTTCAGTGATCATCCTAAATGCGGGGGTATTTTTGATCCGAGAAATATAGGAGGATGGGTTTTATCCCTAATTATATAAAAGAAAACTAACACAACTCTTATTTTCAAAAATGTTTTCTTTTCACTTTTCCGTCAATTTTATTTTAATTTATAATTGAGCCTTTTATTTTCCCTATAAATGGGACATATTTTTTGTTTTCGATCATCATATATTTTATATTGATAATTTATTTTATTTTGTAATTGATTAATTTTAAAACATATAAATTCTAATATAATATTTTATAATAAAAGTCTATTAAAATCCTTTTTTTTTGGTTTATTAGAGTTTCTGGTTATAACAGTCGTGATTATTGTAAAAAAAATCGGCAGCACTTCCTTGCATAGACTTACTGTATATATCAAAATTGGGCAATACCTCGGTGTGGGACTTACTGCAAAAATATAAGAAATTACTGTAAAAATATTAACGCGAAGGTCACTTATAGATAGGATAACTCTGATTAACTCTTTTTTTTTATATTCAGCCGCCTCAATTAAGAGGGCTTTGATAATTTTTTTTTATATTCAGCTGCCTCACTTAAGAGGACTTTGGTAACTTCTTTTAGCGCTTATAATATTATATAAAGATAGCACACAATTTAAAGTCTAAGATAATTTGTTTATTGATATTCAATTTTTCTTACAGATAATATTTCCAAATAAAAAGTTTTACATTTGAGAACAGAGTAATTCATAATTAATATTTCACAAACGAAAAAAATAATATAATTATTTTAAACAAAATAATATAACTTTTTTATGTCTTAACTTTTGAAAGCTCCTTGTAGTTGGCCGAACGATTGGAAGCACTAACAATAAATTATATGTCATTTTTTTAGTGTTTCGTTAGTGCTTGTTAGTGCCTTAATCCGTAGAGTGCCACGTGCCAACAAAAACTAAACACATCTGGTTTAGACTAAGAATATGGCCTGCATATTTACATTATATGTTTAAACACCTAAAAAAAATATTCTGCATTAGATAAATTAAAAGAAATTAGAAATAATATCAACATTATTATTCCAATTTTGAACCATAATATGCAACTTGTAGTTTTAGAATGCACTTTTTTTATTATATTTTTTTGAAACAGGGTTGTACTCCTTAATTTTGGTCAGACATGACGTTTGTACCTACATATCCTGGCTTATTACATCCGATGGATTAATAATTAATTTATTAAATTGTTTTAAAATACTATTAGTAATATTTTCAGTAGAAAGACAATGTAAATTATTGATTCCTTTGAAATCTTCATGGATTTCTTCCCAAAAAATATAACAAATAACTATGCTCAGATTTTAATAACCTCATGCATTTTTTGTCTTATCAGCCTTAAGAAAAAAAGGCGTCTCACTTTTGTTATAATTTTCTGAGATATATTCCAGCACGATATCTGCCATAATAGATAAGACTACAGTTTGAATTTGGAGTGATGTATATTGTGCATTTTTGGATATTTATTTTATAATTCTTTTTAATTCAGGATATTTTTCCATGATCTAGGAAAACATTGCTATAAAGAGTACAGAAGAATGAATTATGTTTTCATTTCTTGCACATCCATAATAATAGTTGAACAGAAAAGGTAGCTCCGGTATGCTAAGAAATAGCATCAAATCAAATATTGATTTAAGATAATAAAGATTACGGTACATTGGCTTACGAAAATTATTGTTATCTCAGTATCATATATATTAAAATTTAATTCATACCTATTGAATTTAAATGAGCTTCCATATTTTAGCAGTTCCCTTCTTTGCAGTTAACGCATTTTTTTAATTGCCGAATCTCTTTCGCCCAAAATCATCATATGAGAGACCTAATAAGTGAATAAATATTTTATAATTATATGTTCTTGTTTATTATTTTGTATAATTTAAATGAATATTTTTCTAAATATTTTGTTGTATTTTCATTTAGATTGAATTGTTAATAGTAAAATTTTATATCTAGTAATTTTGTTAAAATTGGAGGACGGAAATTTGATGGCCATTTTTGGGAGCCAGAATATTTTCAAGGGGCCAGATTGACCAAAAATTTTTTTGGTGGGCTTACACCCTCTGGGGCCCTTTTGATGCCCTCCCGTGACTACGGCCCTGGTTAGGATTTGGTAAGTATTATATATGGTAATATTTTGATCTTAGAGAAATATTTGTTAATCCCAATCAGGGCGTCACTAGCCTTTACAATCTCATGGAGTTAAACTAAAAAAAAATTTATGGGAGGGGGGTGCGATGCACCCTATATTCCCTATTTTGCGGGGCTTCCGCCCATTTTGCTGGGCCTTTGGCCGGGTTTTATATTAATATATTATACTTTTATGATTAAAATTTGCAAACTCTGAACAATTAATTCTTAGTACATTGACAAAAGGCCATGAAACGAATATAATGTTGGTTACCATTTTAGACAATGTTTTATAGAATGGATTAAAAAGGAAAAATTTGTAGGCCTTACCAAATCAATAATTATTGAAGAAGAGAATATAAACGACTAGTCCAAATCATAAAACTATATCTCCTATATGTTATGGAAGCTAGATAAGTAATCGAGAAAATTATTGTGAGATATTAAATTTCTAAAAGAATAACTTCCATTTACTTTTTAAATGATATATAAACGACTAGACAGTTGACCATTGTTGCTCATATATGCAATCAAATACCTTCAGCTGTAGGAGTAATAATCTTAAATTAAACAGCCACACAAATAATAGATGCTGGTTAATTTGCAGTGATAGCCATGACATTCACGGTGTAAACTTATCATTGTTTATTATGTTAAATAAATTGATAAAATAAAATATTAAAAATCTTTAGAAGAAATAATTATGCAAATATATTGAAGCCATGAGTTATTTACACGGTAAGGATACTATGTTTGAAATTAATCATTAAATAATTATAAAATAAGGACCAGAGTGATAGGATGAAAGCAATTAAGATTTTATATACTATTATCGCACCACCACTAGTTGGTATATTATGTCATAAAATAATAATAGTTTGTATTAATATCAAAAATATACTCGTATTAAAATTAACTTAAAACTGTTTTTCTAAGAATAAAAAAAATAATTTCCCTAAAAACAGGTAAAAATAGAAAAGGAAAAAAAAAGATATCTAATAAGGATTACATCCATTTTGGGATAAATAATGATGAATTTTTTAATAATAAATTTTTATTCAAAATAAATAGATGGCGTTAAAGATTTGAATGCTAACTGTTGATTATATTTATTATTAAAAGCATTGATTAATGTAGTTTATTGAAATATTAACTGTAATATATTCTATAATTGCCAAATATATCTGTAAAAGTAGCATTTTACTTAATATTTTGTAACCTATTCTTTATAATAAAGGATTATTAACTATACTAGTAGAAAGCCCGTCAAAAATGACGGGGAATGAGATTTTTATTCATTTTTTTACGATAGATGTCATGCCAGATCCAAGCTCACAATATTAGGAAGCATATAATTATTAAAAAGTTTATCCAACCTAGCTCAACCCTTAATAATTTGTTAAAGATATTCCCATGTCAGGTGCAAGCTAATATAAATTTTGAGGTTCCAAGCCTAGTCGTATCCAATATAATTTTGAAAATTTTTCCCACCTCGGAGATAGTTAAATTTTTAATTGATTTATCATCACATGAAGGGGAACTATCTGATTTACCAATTAGTTTAAGATGTAAAAAAAAAAGTGAATTCCGTATTAAGGGAAACTGGGAAAGCCTGGGCAAACCCCTTATTAGAGAATCATGACAAATAAAATAAAAATAACCGACTCTTATACTTTTTGGTAATATGATCAATTATAATTATATATATAGAATAAAATGTTGTTTATTATTTAGGGTTATTGTAGCTTTTCGGATAAATTTAATGTATGCATTTACCAAATTATTTGTCTATATTTTATGTTAAGTAAAAAAAAAATGCTATCTATTTAAATAACAAAAATGACATTAAACACTAATGAAACCTATATGCAAATTATAAAATATTTTTTATTGACATATAAATTTAGGCTAATTTTTTTAAAAAATAATGAGGAATAATTATTATGTTGTGTATTTGATAAAATTAAGAGCAAATCCTTGTTGACATTTTTATTTTTGATAGAAAAAGTGACAAAATAAATCTGGGCGGTCGTCTGGAGAGGAAATAATTAATGTATGATTTTATATCATTTAGGGTTGTAGATGAAAGTAATGACGGATTACCAAAGCAGTTTACAAAACACAATACGTCCTGATAAAGATGAGTCATATGCCAATGCCTTGGGATACTGGTAAAAGAAGAACGCAAAATGATATTTCTGTCAATGACAGCATTGGTAGCCCCCTCTAAAATAGAATCATGAACGACAATGTTAACTCAACCATAAAAAGGTAGTAAGAATTGTTATAAAGGCCATGGCAGAACTACTGCATATTTTTCCATTAATAACGTTGATGAAAATGGCCGTACTGCACATTCAAGTTTGAACATTCCTCTAAATAATCATGAAAGTTTCTCAGAGAATCAGATAAAGTAATATTTATAATAACTCCTAGTGAAGTGAATGATAGTACGAAATTGAATGCTTATATTTGTTAAAAAATAGGCAGGGAATGTGGCAGTGGTGATAGAAATATCATTTGGAGGCAACTGGGTGAAAATAAAATAAACATATAAATATAAAACATAAGATAAAAAAAATAGATAAACCTCCAGAGGAGTTAATTTCAAGTTTTTTATTATTTTGGCTACCAGTAACTCTAGAACGGTGAAGACGTTTGTTTATTCGTCATTATTTTTTTTGCTTATCTTTAATAAATTCATCATGTTTTGTAGCAATGTGAGGGATTAAGGTTGGGTTAGCCTAGACAAATAAAGAAATCAGGCAAAAATATAAATAAACATTATTATTGAAATAAAACGAACATTAAAATTCTGTAAACCAGTAGATGGGTCAATATTAGATGGATGCATATACTTTGTAGTTGGAGGGGTATCATCAAAAATATTGGGGGGGGGCAGAGATATTAAATTTATAATTAATGAAGGGAAAACTGATTTACCAATTAGTCTACGGATAAAATATAATACTTTATAAAATATTAACATAAGACTAACATTTAACATTGAAAAATCACAATATAGGTTAAAGCCTATAATATTTGGAAAAAATTTCCAAATATCCAAGATCTTAATAATTTAAAAAGATTTTCTCACGCCCATTTCAATCCCTAATAATTTTTGAAAACCAAGCCAATATTAATTTTGAGAAATATTTTTTAAGCCCAGTCTAACCCATAATAATTTTGAAAAAATTTTCCCAAGCCTAGAGATATATTTTATTGAATTAACTCAGTTATGAATTTCTATATAAAATATTTATAATTTGTAATATTTAGTAAATAATGTTTTACTTTGACAATTGGTTTTAATATGGCCTACTACAGTTGCACTAATTTTGAAAAATATCATGTGAATTGGTAATAAGGGAAACTGAGAAAGCCTGAACAAAATACTTATTAGAGAATCATGACAAAATAAGGTCTGCCCTAATATTATTTATGTTTTTTTTTACATTTTAAACTAATGGGTAAATCAGATATTTACCCTTCATGTGATGATAAATCAATTAAAAATTTAACTATCTCCTAGGTGGGAAAAAATTTTCAAAATTATATTGGATACGACTGGGCTTGGAACCAGGGGCGTCGCTAGCCTTTACAATCTCAGGGGGCTCAACTAAAAAAATTTTATGGTATTCTTATTTTCATATTTTGTTTTTTATTATATTATACGTACAAAATAAACTAGAATATAAATAATTAAGACTAGAATATTGATCATTAAGACTAGAATATAAATATCATTAAGACTAGAATATAAATATTATTAAGACTAGAATATAAATAATTAAGACTAGAAAATAAATAATTAAAACTAGAATATAAATAATTAAAACAATACATTTCTACAAATTTTTCAATACAAAATCGATTTACTACAGTATAAAGTATTTTAAATTGCTGATATAAAAAATTTCGCGTCTAAAGAATTACAAGTGATAAAACCGATTAATTAATTCATACATATGCCTCAATTGTTAATGTTTTTAAAAACCCCATAAGGCAATATAATTCTAAGCAACTAACATTAACAAAAGGTCATGAAACTAATATAACTCTCTCTTACCATTTTAGACAAAGTTTTATAGAATGGACTAATAAGGAAAAATTTATAGGCCTAACCAAATCAACAATTCTTGAAGAAGAGAATATAAACGACCAATCCAAATCATAAAACTATATGATGGTTAGAGCTTCCTCTTAGATGACATGATGGAAGCTAGATAAGTAATCGAAAAAATTATTGTGAGATATTAAATTTCTAAAAGATTATCTTCCATTTTTAATCCTATATAAACTACTGGACAGTTGATCATTGTTGCTCATCTTAATTACGCAATCATATGCTCTCAGCAGCTGTAGTAATAATCTTAAATTACATAGCCACACAAATAAAAGATGCTGGTTAATTTGCAGTCATAGCCATGACATACACGATGTTAACTCATATCAAAATCTAGTATGTTAGATATATTGATAAAGCAAAAACACCTAAAATCTTGGAAGAAATTATGCAAATATATTGAAGCCTTGAGTTATTTACAATTTAAGTGTGCCAAATTAGAAATAAATAATTTTGGAGCTAGAAAATAAGTACCATGGTGATATGATGAAAGCAATTAAGATCTTATATATTATTGTATTGTCAATGTATTTAAATATTTTTAATTAATATCTTATATATAAATTAATTTTTTACCTATTTTCTTTCCTTCTGTACTTACATTATTTACAATCATGTCATTCACAATACTTTCTTCATTATTCAATGAATCTAAATAAGATTAATTTTAAAATGTATTTCTTTTCAGTGTATTTATTTTTATAAATATAATATATAAAAAGTAATATTCCATATTATAATGTCCATTTTTCAAAAATATATATAAATAAGCAAACTATTCTAAATTTATTTAGCATTTTTATTAAAATATAGTTTATTATTAAGTTAGGATAAACAAATAAATATATAATTATCAAATTATGAAAGAATGATTGAGTAAACAATTTAGCCAATATTATCTTTATTAATGTAAAAAGAATAATAGTGTATGATTTTTTAAGATATTGACTATTTATATAGAAAATATTTACTATGTTTTATTTAGCTAATATTTTGACATCACCTTATGTGATTATAATACATAAAATTTAAAAAAAATTTCCATTTATAGTGTCCTGCTCCTGAAAGGTGAAAATATATTGTAAAGCAATTTTTGCTTAACTTGAAAACTAAAGAAATCAATATTGTTTAATATTCTGGTGAAAAATGACTTAAATAGAAATTCTATAGAAATTAGGCAAATTTGGGAGGAAATAGGAAAAACATATAACTTTAATTATGATCAAGTGAAAAAGAAACCTTCCATTAAAATAGATAATTAACTAATAAATTTTTATTTTTTAAAACTTAAATGTCCAAAGTGTTTTGTTATTAATTTGTGAAAATTTTAAGGATTTTTTCAAAACATTTTGGACACAGACTTATATATAAATTTATTTACCTATTTTCTTTCTTTTAACATTTTTGTTTTCAATATTAATATCTTTTAAAACTACAATTAATCGTCTTTCAACTAAATCAAAGTTTGAATTTTAAAAACTGTATAAAATATACTTTGTTCATCACCAGCTTTATTATTGAATCCTCTTCTTTGGTCCTCAAGATATGCTTAAATTTTTAAATCGCAAAGTCATTTTATTTAAATAGTGATTTTAAACTCGGCTTACAATATTAAATTTGTTAATTTTCAATTAATAAATCTTTATATTTATTTAATTAGGGTTATATAATAATTTAATTAATAAAAATCAATCAAACTTCAACTGTTAATGCTAAATTGATATTTAAACATTATGCATGGTATTGATATTTTATTTTTAACAAGGAATTTGATTGCAAGCTGACATAGTGAAAATATAATTTATATGTATTAATCTAATCTAATAAAATTTAGATAGTCTTTTTAATTTTTAAATAATAAAATTAAATCTATATATTACTTAATAGATTTATAATAAACAGGGGACAATCAAAAAAAGTTCTTTTTAGTTTAAAGGGATATTAAGGAACCATTAAAAAAAATTTTGCTTCAGGGGGCTATTCAAATTTTTCAGGGGACTTGAGCCCCTGCGTCCCCCCCCCCCTAGTGACGCCACTGCTTGGAATCTCAAAATTTACATTAGCTTGCACCTGATATGGGAATATCTTTTACAAATTATTAAGGGTTGAGCTGGGCTTGATAAACTTTTTAATAATTATATGCTTCCTAATATTGTGAGCTTGGACCTGGCATGACACTATCGTAAAAAATGATTAAAAATCTCATTCCCCGTCATTTTTGATGGGCTTTCTTAATAATTTGTAATATTTAGTAAATAATGTATTACTTTCCTATGTATAAACATTGGTATAAAAGAGAATCATGACAAAATAAGGTCTGCCCTAATATTATTTATGTTTTTTTTTACATTTTAAACTAATTCGTAAATCAGATATTTACCATGTGATGATAAATCAATTAAAAATTTAACTATCTCCGAGGTGGGAAAAAATTTTCAAAATTATATTGGATACGACTGAGCATGGAGCCTCAAAATTTATACTAGCTTGCACCTGATATGGGAATATCTTTTACAAATTATTAAGGGTTGAGCTGGGCTTGATAAACTTTTTAATAATTATATGCTTCCTAATATTGTGAGATTGGACCTGGCATGACACTATCGTAAAAAATGATTAAAAATCTCATTCCCCGTCATTTTTGATGGGCTTTCTTAATAATTTGTAATATTTAGTAAATAATGTATTACTTTGCTATGTATAAACATTGGTATAAAAGAGAATCATGGCAAAATAAGGTCTGCCCTAATATAAATTATATTTTTTTTTACATTTTAAACTAATTGGTAAATCAGATATTTACCCTTCATGTGATGATAAATCAATTAAAAATTTAAATATCTCTGAGGTGGAAAAAAATTTTCAAAATTATATTGGATAGGACTGGGCTTGGAACTTCAAAATTAATATTAGATTACACCTGACATGGGAATATCTTTTACAAATTATTAAAGGTTGAGCTGGGCTTGATAAACTTTTTTATAATTATATGCTTCCTAATATTGTGAGCTTGGACCTGGCATGACACTATCGTAAAAATGAATAAAAATCTCATTCCCCATCATTTTTGATGGGCTTTCTTAATAATTTGTGATATTTAATAAATAATGTATTACTTTCTTATGTATAAACATTGGTATAAACTCAAGACTTGATCAATGGACATGGGAATATCTTTTACAAATTATTAAGGGTAGCTGGGCTTGATAAACTTTTTTATAATTATATGCTTCCTAATATTTTGCCTCCTACAGTTGCATTAATTTTGAAAAAAATTTCCCAAACCTAGAGATATAAAATATTAATAATTTGTAATATTTAGTAAATAATGTATTACTTTTTGGATTTAATATGGCCTCCTACATTTGCATAGAAAATTTAAGTTATAGGATCATCTGTTTGTATAAAATAAATAAATAAATTAAACACATAAAAAATAAATAAATACGTACCGATGACATGACGTAACGATGACATGACGTAACGATGACATGACGTAGCGATAACATGACGTAGCGATGACATAACGTAGCGATGACATGACGTAGCGATGACATGACGTAGCGATGACATGACGTAGCGATGACGTAGTGAGGACATCGGAAAATTATAATATAGATGTGTACTTACTTTTTAAATAAATTTCTTATATTTGTTTGGATGTTGGAAATATTTTTAGGAAGAGGCCAGGCATTTAAATTTAGATTTTGAACTAGACTAATTACAATATTAAATTTGTTAATTTTCAATTAATAAATGATAATATTTATTTAAGGTTATAAAATAATTTAAATAATAAAAATCAATTAAGCTTCAACTGGTGATGCTAAATTGATATTTAGACATTATGAGTGATATGAATATTTTATTTTTAACATATTTGATAACAAACTGATATTGTGTATATATATTAATCTAATCTTATAATTAAAATAGCTCTCATTTAATAAAAATTTAGATAATCTTATAATTTTTAAATAATATAATCCAATCTCTATATAATACTTAATAGAATTAAAAAAGAAATTGCTCAGGGGACTATCAAAAAAGTTTATTTTTTAGTTTAAGGGGATATTAAGGAGCCTTTAAAAGAAATTTTTTGCAACAGAGGGCTAGTCATTCAGGGGGCTTGAGGCTACTGAACAAGTAAAAAAAAGTAATCAAAATTATCATGGGCGTATCTTCAATACATATATCATTCTAACTCCAGAGAGAACAATATGAAAATATGCAGATCAGCATAAGAGATCCATTATTCCGACTCATGGAAGTTCATCAAAAGTTTCATAAATGGTTGTGCTAGTAAATAAAAAAGGTACGAATACTACATTACGTTATCATCAAGAAACCTATAATAACAAAAAGGTTTTTATAGGAAATTTACCTTAAAAATGTTGAGAGGAAATGTAATTGAAAAATTGGAGTGAATATGTAAATCGTATAACTAGGAATATACGTATTTTGATTTAATCAATTTATTTAAATTTTCTATATATAATATTTCGCGTGAGTTAAAATATGAATTACATTTTATGCTGTCATTATTACTATTCATCGTCCTTTATGTATGATATTAATTTAACATGAAATAAAAACAATCATTTTACAGTGTCTCTTAACAGTCGCTCGCAGTGTTAATAATTACATAACTAACTATTAAATTAAATAACCATAGATTACTTTATGGTTAAATTAAGATTCCTTTTTAAAAAAATATTATTATTTAATTGTTTTTTCTTTTATTATTGTTAAAAACATGACATATCAACATTCCACTCCACCCTCTAAAGAAATCTCACCTATGTTTTCCTTGGACATGTTGAGTGGAAAATGCCATTGACGTTCATAATAACGTTTTCTATGCTTAGGTTGTTTGATTTTGATAGGTCGAGAGTTCCCTAGAACATGTCACGTTGTTCTACCATGTTGCCTCTTTCTCTGTCTACATCACGTCTTTTCTCAGTTTGTTTTGTCACCACGCAATGCGCCATTCATGCTCATGATATAGTCTTCTTTTTTTAAACGAACGGTAGTTGGTGAATCGAGAGCAGTCTTTGTGAGTAGATTAGAGTAAATTCCTGGAATCTTCATGTGTAGAAATCTGCAATTTGATTAAAATCTATTTTGGTATATTTCCTGCCCTTAGCTAACTTCTCAATCAGATCGCTTGTGTGCTGTAACGGTTATCTAGAATCCTTTAGAGCAGGGATTATGGTATCTTTTAAGTCAGCGCACACCCCCTGGTGCCGTCTCTCTTGATAACAGGTGTTAGTGAACTTGCCCATATGACTTGAGATACAGGTTCTATGATGTTATCCTTTGGCCAGACGTCCAACTCACGAGTCATTGCGTCAATCCTGGCATATGGCACTCTCCTAGGAGTATGATTCATTGTATAGCGTCATTCTTTAAGTGAATCTTTATTTGTCTGATTATTTTGGGTCTGTTGGAGCGTGTTGCCTCAAGGTCATTTTTCGTAGTTGAAATAACCCTCCCGAGATGATCGTCTACATTACCCACAATAAACGCTTTTAATATATTATTGAATGCGTGGAGCCATACACGTCCTAACAGGGGGCACTTATCTCTATCCACCACTATGGCCTCCAGCGTTTATGTGCTTCCTGCTGTCACACGTTAACATTAAATGCCTATGATTTTGATAGAGTTGCCGTCGTACCCTGTCAGCCTAATATCGGTCTTGCATGTCGTGGCTATCCTTCAGCCTTAGATGTGTGCCTCGGTAATATCGTGTACCTGGTGCCGGTCACTTGCATTACCTGGATATATCGTTAATGAGCACCGTGATGTTTACGCATTATATCTGGTGTCATTGACCTCCAGATTGTTCACCTCCAGATTCTGGAGATTGTACTCTGACATTGGTGGTTAATGATGCTTGGTACCTTAAGGTACCATCTATCAAATTTGAATTTTGTTCATTTTTCATTTGGATAGCACTAACAAATATATTTATAATATATATTTGAAAAATCGTGATTTTTGGAAAGCCTCTATGGTCAAGTAGGCAAGAGCTTGGTTTACTTATCCCATGTTCCCGCGTTCGAATCCCGGGAATGATCATGTTTTTTTTCTTATTCTAACTTGGTGGTTCCATCCTTGGGGGGATAATATATTAGTGTTGTTAAATGGCTGAGCCAAGCCGGCTTAGCCGAAAACTCAGCCAGTTTCTGAGCCAAAAATTCGGCTCAGGCTCAAGCCGGCTCATTGAGCCGGCTGGCTTAAGCCGATGGCTCAAGCCGATAGCTCAAGCCGATAGCTCAAGCCGATGGCTCAAGCCGATAGCTCAAGCCGATGGCTCAAGCCGATAGCTCAAGCCGATGGCTCAAGCCGATAGCTCAAGCCGATAGCTCAAGCCGATGGCTCAAGCCGATAGCTCAAGCCGATGGCTCAAGCCGATGGCTCAAGCCGATAGCTCAAGCCGATAGCTCA